ATAATATAAAACAATTTTCACAACGATACCACCAACCATTCCGGAGATATTGCGAAACAGGCACTTACACCAACAATTTTAAAATTTTCTTTGTTTCGTCTGATAGGTGAGATCGTCACCAATAATATGAAACAATTTTCACAACGATACCACCAACCATTCCGGAGATTTTGCAAAACAGGCACTTACACCAACAATTTCAAAATTGTGTTTGTTTCGTCTGATAGGTGAGATCGCCACCAATAATATAAAACAATTTTCACAACGATACCACCAACCATTCCGGAGATTTTGCAAAACAGGCACTTACACCAACAATTTTCAAATTTTCTTTGTTTCGTCTCAAAGTTGAGATCGCCACCAATAATATAAACAATTTTCACAACGATACCACCAACCATTCCGGAGATTTTGCAAAACAGGCACTTACACCAACAATTTCAAAATTGTGTTTGTTTCGTCTGATAGGTGAGATCGCCACCAATAATATAAACAATTTTCACAACGATACCACCAACCATTCCGGAGATTTTGCAAAACAGGCACTTACACCAACAATTTCAAAATTGTGTTTGTTTCGTCTGATAGGTGAGATCGCCACCAATAATATAAAACAATTTTCACAACGATACCACCAACCATTCCGGAGATTTTGCAAAACAGGCACTTACACCAACAATTTCAAAATTGTGTTTGTTTCGTCTGATAGGTGAGATCGCCACCAATAATATAAAACAATTTTCACAACGATACCACCAACCATTCCGGAGATTTTGCAAAACAGGCACTTACACCAACAATTTCAAAATTGTGTTTGTTTCGTCTGATAGGTGAGATCGCCACCAATAATATAAAACAATTTTCACAACGATACCACCAACCATTCCGGAGATTTTGCAAAACAGGCACTTACACCAACAATTTCAAAATTGTGTTTGTTTCGTCTGATAGGTGAGATCGCCACCAATAATATAAAACAATTTTCACAACGATACCACCAACCATTCCGGAGATTTTGCAAAACAGGCACTTACACCAACAATTTTCAAATTTTCTTTGTTTCGTCTGATAGGTGAGATCGCCACCAATAATATGAAACAATTTTCACAACGATACCACCAACCATTCCGGAGATATTGCGAAACAGGCACTTACACCAACAATTTCAAAATTTCCTTTGTTTTCTCTGATAGGTGAGATCGCCACCAATAATATAAAACAATTTTCACAACGATACCACCAACCATTCCGGAGATTTTGCAAAACAGGCACTTACACCAACAATTTTCAAATTTTCTTTGTTTCGTCTGATAGGTGAGATCGCCACCAATAATATAAAACAATTTTCACAACGATACCACCAACCATTCCGGAGATTTTGCAAAACAGGCACTTACACCAACAATTTCAAAATTGTGTTTGTTTCGTCTGATAGGTGAGATCGCCACCAATAATATAAAACAATTTTCACAACGATACCACCAACCATTCCGGAGATTTTGCAAAACAGGCACTTACACCAACAATTTCAAAATTGTGTTTGTTTCGTCTGATAGGTGAGATCGCCACCAATAATATAAAACAATTTTCACAACGATACCACCAACCATTCCGGAGATATTGCAAAACAGGCACTTACACCAACAATTTTCAAATTTTCTTTCTTTTGTCTGATAGGTGAGATCGCCACCAATAATATAAATCAATTTTCACAACGATACCACCAACCATTCCGGAGATATTGCAAAACAGGCACTTACACCAACAATTTTCAAATTTTCTTTGTTTCGTCTGATAGGTGAGATCGCCACCAATAATATAAAACAATTTTCACAACGATACCACCAACCATTCCGGAGATTTTGCAAAACAGGCACTTACACCAACAATTTCAAAATTGTGTTTGTTTCGTCTGATAGGTGAGATCGCCACCAATAATATAAAACAATTTTCACAACGATACCACCAACCATTCCGGAGATTTTGCAAAACAGGCACTTACACCAACAATTTTCAAATTTTCTTTGTTTCGTCTGATAGGTGAGATCGCCACCAATAATATAAACAATTTTCACAACGATACCACCAACCATTCCGGAGATATTGCAAAACAGGCACTTACACCAACAATTTTCAAATTTTCTTTCTTTTGTCTGATAGGTGAGATCGCCACCAATAATATAAAACAATTTTCACAACGATACCACCAACCATTCCGGAGATATTGCAAAACAGGCACTTACACCAACAATTTTCAAATTTTCTTTCTTTTGTCTGATAGGTGAGATCGCCACCAATAATATAAAACAATTTTCACAACGATACCACCAACCATTCCGGAGATTTTGCAAAACAGGCACTTACACCAACAATTTCAAAATTGTGTTTGTTTCGTCTGATAGGTGAGATCGCCACCAATAATATAAAACAATTTTCACAACGATACCACCAACCATTCCGGAGATTTTGCAAAACAGGCACTTACACCAACAATTTCAAAATTGTGTTTGTTTCGTCTGATAGGTGAGATCGCCACCAATAATATAAAACAATTTTCACAACGATACCACCAACCATTCCGGAGATTTTGCAAAACAGGCACTTACACCAACAATTTCAAAATTGTGTTTGTTTCGTCTGATAGGTGAGATCGCCACCAATAATATAAAACAATTTTCACAACGATACCACCAACCATTCCGGAGATTTTGCAAAACAGGCACTTACACCAACAATTTCAAAATTTCCTTTGTTTCGTCTGATAGGTGAGATCGCCACCAATAATATAAAACAATTTTCACAACGATACCACCAACCATTCCGGAGATTTTGCAAAACAGGCACTTACACCAACAATTTCAAAATTGTGTTTGTTTCGTCTGATAGGTGAGATCGCCACCAATAATATAAAACAATTTTCACAACGATACCACCAACCATTCCGGAGATTTTGCAAAACAGGCACTTACACCAACAATTTCAAAATTGTGTTTGTTTCGTCTGATAGGTGAGATCGCCACCAATAATATAAAACAATTTTCACAACGATACCACCAACCATTCCGGAGATTTTGCAAAACAGGCACTTACACCAACAATTTCAAAATTCTGTTTGTTTCGTCTGATAGGTGAGATCGCCACCAATAATATAAAATCAATTTTCACAACGATACCACCAACCATTCCGGAGATATTGCAAAACAGGCACTTACACCAACAATTTTCAAATTTTCTTTCTTTTGTCTGATAGGTGAGATCACCACCAATAATATAAAACAATTTTCACAACGATACCACCAACCATTCCGGAGATTTTGCAAAACAGGCACTTACACCAACAATTTCAAAATTGTGTTTGTTTCGTCTGATAGGTGAGATCGCCACCAATAATATAAAACAATTTTCACAACGATACCACCAACCATTCCGGAGATTTTGCAAAACAGGCACTTACACCAACAATTTCAAAATTCTGTTTGTTTCGTCTGATAGGTGAGATCGCCACCAATAATATAAAAAAAATTTTCACAACGATACCACCAACCATTCCGGAGATTTTGCAAAACAGGCACTTACACCAACAATTTCAAAATTCTGTTTGTTTCGTCTGATAGGTGAGATCGCCACCAATAATATAAAACAATTTTCACAACGATACCACCAACCATTCCGGAGATATTGCAAAACAGGCACTTACACCAACAATTTTCAAATTTTCTTTGTTTCGTCTGATAGGTGAGATCGCCACCAATAATATAAAACAATTTTCACAACGATACCACCAACCATTCCGGAGATTTTGCAAAACAGGCACTTACACCAACAATTTCAAAATTGTGTTTGTTTCGTCTGATAGGTGAGATCGCCACCAATAATATAAAACAATTTTCACAACGATACCACCAACCATTCCGGAGATTTTGCAAAACAGGCACTTACACCAACAATTTCAAAATTGTGTTTGTTTCGTCTGATAGGTGAGATCGCCACCAATAATATAAAACAATTTTCACAACGATACCACCAACCATTCCGGAGATTTTGCAAAACAGGCACTTACACCAACAATTTTCAAATTTTCTTTGTTTCGTCTGATAGGTGAGATCGCCACCAATAACATAAAATCAATTTTCACAACGATACCACCAACCATTCCGGAGATTTTGCAAAACAGGCACTTACACCAACAATTTCAAAATTGTGTTTGTTTCGTCTGATAGGTGAGATCGCCACCAATAATATAAAACAATTTTCACAACGATACCACCAACCATTCCGGAGATTTTGCAAAACAGGCACTTACACCAACAATTTCAAAATTGTGTTTGTTTCGTCTGATAGGTGAGATCGCCACCAATAATATAAAACAATTTTCACAACGATACCACCAACCATTCCGGAGATTTTGCAAAACAGGCACTTACACCAACAATTTTCAAATTTTCTTTGTTTCGTCTGATAGGTGAGATCGCCACCAATAATATAAAACAATTTTCACAACGATACCACCAACCATTCCGGAGATATTGCAAAACAGGCACTTACACCAACAATTTTCAAATTTTCTTTCTTTTGTCTGATAGGTGAGATCGCCACCAATAATATAAAACAATTTTCACAACGATACCACCAACCATTCCGGAGATATTGCAAAACAGGCACTTACACCAACAATTTCAAAATTCTGTTTGTTTCGTCTGATAGGTGAGATCGCCACCAATAATATAAAACAATTTTCACAACGATACCACCAACCATTCCGGAGATTTTGCAAAACAGGCACTTACACCAACAATTTCAAAATTGTGTTTGTTTCGTCTGATAGGTGAGATCGCCACCAATAATATAAAACAATTTTCACAACGATACCACCAACCATTCCGGAGATTTTGCAAAACAGGCACTTACACCAACAATTTTCAAATTTTCTTTCTTTTGTCTGATAGGTGAGATCGCCACCAATAATATAAATCAATTTTCACAACGATACCACCAACCATTCCGGAGATATTGCAAAACAGGCACTTACACCAACAATTTTCAAATTTTCTTTCGGTTTGTTCATTGCGTCGCCCATCTGCTGAAATATTTCTTTTTCGATTAATATTTGTTGGATTTCCTACGCTTATCACACACACTTCTTATATTTACTTGATTGAATTTGGGACATGCTTTGAAATGCATCCACGTCATTCGTAACTTGCAGACATGAAGATCGAACATTTTTTCTTGGTTAATGTTAGTCTAATAATCTATGGTTCAAATTCTAGTTAGCAGCGGTTTCAGTACACAACCGACATGCTGATTACACATTCCCAGGAAGCAGGTGAGTCTGTTGCGATTTCGGTTAATAATGCTAATACTAATGAGTGCATTCTAGATAATACAGAGTCTTTTTCCAATACACTGTCGGACAGACAGAGGATGAACTTAAGAAGACGTACAATCAATTACAGACACTTATACTCCTGTTTAAGCTGTGGCGGATGTGGTATTTGAATGAACTAATGATTCCTTTGTACTTGTTGAATGCTTGAATTCGAATTCCAAATACAGTAGATTCGTTCGTGCTTATCTGGTACTTCTTGACCCAATTGCGTTATTTCTGGGATTCTTAGTTCATACTATATTTCAAATACTTACAAATAACACATATATGTATGCCGATCTCTACCTCTTTACATCCCACAGAAATGAATGAGTTATTGTCTCGTATCGAATGATGGTCTATTGTTACTGGTCTCATACTTAATCCATCTAAATATCAAGCTGTCAAATATAGCTTGAGACATGGACAGCATCTAAACACCATTTTGAGATCCAGTCAGGCTTATGCCATTGAAGACTCTTTGATAAGCACAGTGTCGAAAGTCAGTTATCTTGTTGTTACTTTCCCCTGATCTCTCTTGGTCTTCTCATGTTTTACTGCTATCGAAGGGAGTTTTCCGTCTGACTTACTACACAAAAAGGCTGCATGCTTTTGGGATTGCTTGACACTTACTATTACAATTTTTCAATTCCTGCGTCTAACCAATGTTCTTTACCGTTCTCCACTATTCTTTCACGAGATTTTGAGAAAAGACTTTGCTGTATTGCGGAGAGTGCTGAAGACAGTTTTCAAGGTGTGTGGTGAATCTTTCGAGGTCTTTATTAATATGGTTATGGATAGACATATAAAGTCTTCCAAACTCCCAGCAGGTGTTAACAGATACCAACCATCCCCTTCACTCATATCTTTCTACCTGTATAGCTTCTGGTAGAAAGAGACGTAAATGCATTAAGATCCATGCACGCAAGCAAAGGTATAAAAGTTCTATAATGCCTAACCTAGCAAATATATTCCGTGACGAACAGGTTATTAGAGTTAACCTAGTCAATAACCTGTATGTTTAAACATGACTCTAATTTGAAAAGTTGTACAGATTCTGATCTTTTTTTCACCTTTTGTCCTTTCTTTTCTGTTTTTGTGGGAGAAACCTGTTGAAATACCTCTTTCTGTGAATTCTATAATGTACCAAAATATAATATTGAATAAAGCCATTAATAATAATAAATGTTCCTATTTAACATCTTGTTAATATTCTCCCTAACAGTAGGGCATATTTATTTTAGCAGATTGTCATTTAATAATTGAATAATTATGACTTAGAAACAGATATTTAGTACTCCCAGCCTGGAGTTAACTCAACGGCGTTTAAGGTTTAAGTAAATGCAGATATCAAAAGGATGAAGGGTCGGCGGAAAGGATTGTCCAGGACGGAGTTGGATAAAAAATGCTGGTAAGCGGCCTATGCTCATCCACGAAGGGTAACAGGCATACGTATATATATATATATATATATATATATATATATATATATATATATATATATATATATATCGTAGACATGAAGTTACAAATCAATGTTTAGCCATAATGTGTTAGATAATAAATAACATTGTTTATTTAGGCTATGCTATTATAGTTGAAAATTAATTATAAACATTTGCCTGACTGCTTGTTTTTATTTCATGCTTCCCGTGAAATTCTAGCGGAATCCTGTATGCAAAATCCCAGTGATATAGTTTTGTCAACTGCAACACCGAATGCAGATATTCAATCCTATCCTCATAAATCCATTCAGCATACTTCAATCAATAATATCGGTTCCATAAAAGCTAGTGGTTGTCAGATGTGCTCATCAATCAGTTGTAACAATGATCAAAATACCGCAGAATTGTCAGCGAATTGTAGTGAAAACTTTACTTCAAGAAGTTCTGTTAATCGATCTACAGCTTTGTCAGACGACATGAGTAAGTTGTAATAAATGTTCTTACTTAAAATTTTCTTGTTAATATTCTCCTAAATTGTACGGCATATTCCATTTAGCATATTGTCATTTATTAATCGAATAATTATGACATAGATACAGATATTAAATACCTCTAGTTGAAAGTTGAGTGTTTCATTGTTTAGGTTCAAGTAAATATTTTGAGTGGATTATCTTTACACATATCTATGAAGTTTGAGCAACATGTTAAAGTATATGATGGAAATCGTTTGTGCACATCACAACATCACGCGAAAAAAGACAACCGAATAGCCTTACTTTTGAGAACTTCCATAAGTGTTTTCGACAATGAAAATAGGGTAAATGGACTGCCACAGATAGGCAGTATTTGGGAATAGATAAGTTTAAATAAAACCTGAATTAAATGATAAAAACTAATTTACAGTATTTGCATTTAATTCCAAGACCTAAAACCTTTGGTATTAGTTATGAACTGAACTACATCGACTTTTAGAATAACATTAACATAATAAAATAAGACGATACTCGTGTATCCTTGATGTTATTTCATCACTGAAACAAACATCCAACCAAATAGTCAATTGAGATGGTATTTAAATTACTTTAAAAAGGTACTCCCGATTTTCTGCTTTGCGGAATGTTCATATTTCCATGGGTTGCTGTGAAATGATTATGTTTATATATACAGCCAACTTAATTTCAAGTTTTATTTATTTCGATGTTTTAGCGGACCATGAAGTCACTACCAATATATGCTTAGATGCTTCTGGAAATCAATGCAAACCGTGATCAAGTGGTGACTCATTGAATGCATCAACAAATACAACTAATAGTAGTAATGAAATTAATAATTACAATAAAGCTTTCTGCATAAAGCAACCAGATCATATGCCTAGTTCATCATTTACATGTACAGCATTGTCATCAACTGTAACAGTTTAGAGTTGACGGCGTTAGAGAATATATTCGAAACCCTTTTCGGCTACATTTTACTGTTTCTTGTTCTACATGTAACGCTCCAATTTTTATATGCACTACTTCATTTAAGATTCCGATTTCTTGATAACTTTTTTTTCTACTATTTGTTAAGCGAGTGTACTTCAATTTGTCGTAACACTTTCTTGTGGTCTGTTGGTAGTTTGTTTGTACGTCAGTAGATCCATGTAAGTCTGAATAATTTGTACTGCTACTGCTACTTTGAAAAATAATGTAAGTTCAAAAATAATATTTATCATCATTCATGTTACTGTATGTAGTTAGGTATATACTGTTGCTCTTCATTACTGTCATATTATCTTTTGTTTCCCTTGATGAACCTGTACTCATGTTTACAGTATATTTTCCTGATTTACTTCCCCACCCATTTACATTACATTTGTATTTTCATCCTGTGCACGACGGACGTTTTCCAACTAAATGTTTCTGTCTTCTACTGTACTGATAAAACTATGGTTGAAATGTTGTTAATAACATGTATGAAATATAAATTATGTTACACTTGTCTAGAATTTGTTACGCCATCTTTAAAAACAAATCTGATCAGCGCTTCGATAAAGATAGAATTAAATACAGTTCAACTGACATGCGAATTCCTATCTATTACGCGGGACGTGATTCTAAAACAATAAGCTCCAACCTGAGTTACCAAGTTTAATCGAATGTTTACAACTAGCTAATGTTAACTAGGGTTAGGAACAAGAGGCATCGGCGACAGAGTTTAAAATTCCAGGTGGTCTGTGTAAAACTGCTTTAAAATCCAATAAGCAGGTGAACTAAATGTTGAAAACGAGGTCAAGAATATTCACTTATTATTAATTACGATGCTGTATGCTAACACACATCACTTATTCACGAACAAACCATGGGATTTTTCGTATTGAATCAGTAATAGCAAGACTACTAACGATGATAACTACAAAATGGTTAACACTTCCTGGAATGATCAACTTCGAGAATAGTACACCGACCTCAAACCTAGAGCATTCAGATCATACTTCATATGAATCCTCTGAATGGACTTCTCCTTATCGATCCTTATACCATAAAGATATTCGTAGATCAACCTTAGATATTGTCTGGCTTATTGCCGTGGAGATTGAGTTATGAAACCTAGACCAAACACATGCATATCTTGACAATATGCATACCATTCGATCAGACCCAAGAAACGAATTCCCATGTAATCTTTTGTTATGACATCCTAGGGCAACATAAATGCGATTTGTTGATTTCCATGAGTGTTCATGAACACCGTGACTGGTAAGAGGTACCCAGCTTCTAAACGTAAGCTGACAGGATTGCCATCTTCTGGTTAACTTCCAAAGCTAAAACTCGCTTTCTGGGAAGCCAATGCAATGTGACTGCGGGAAATCTGTCCGATCAAATGGACAGTTTCAGAAGACTTGTTGCTTGTGCAGCCTAGCCTTCTTCGTAAGAACTGTAGCTACCACGGCTCATCTTTCTTTATCCGAATACATTTCTAGCTTTGGACAACCCTGTAACAAGTAGCAGAGACTCAGTGCACACAGCAAAACTAACTCTGTACATTACCTCGAAAAATCGACTATCAACTTTTCAGCAGCATTTGTCTATAGAACATGAATCGTTCGTTGCGCACAGACAGCAGATATTTTGATCGGCGATCAGTGCAGTCCACTGCCAGACGTTTTATTATTGGTACTGACCCAAAGATACCATTATATAAACATTATATAAAGTCATCATTTAGTAGTAATACAATTCAACCTTCAATTTATTTGGGAAATAGCCAATCACTCAGTCTACAGGGATAAAATGGTGATCAAACAGCAGTCTATTCATGGATCCAAGGGTCAACGGCTTGTTTATATTGACATAGTTCTTGTGGAGTAAACCATAAGTTGATTTCCCTGTTAGCACTTTCAGTTGAGTCTGATCCGTGGACAACATTTCTTCCTACATCTTGGCAGTAGTCTCCCCTTATTGATCCAGGACAACTTGCTTCAGGTTTAGTAGCACCTAACATTGTACGTCCGTTCTCAATAACCTAAAGTAAAAAAAACATAGTGGAAAATACATGTGCAGTAATACGCAACGAAGAAATTACAAGTGTTAAAGGTTAGAAACTTTCTCCATTGAATCAAAACACAGTAAATATGATCGACAGTGAAGGGATATTAGGCAAACACTGAAATAACTGTGAGACTTGTTCACATAGAGTGAGGTTTAATGAGTTACAGTTGAGTCATACTTCTGATACTGTTTGCTTGATGTAGCAGTCCTGATGACGAAACTTTTAGGATTAACGGTTTAGTGATCTTCTTACATTGAAGTTAAGAACGGCTTCTATATCTAGCTTTCATTCTGCTGGTATAAATCGCCTTAGATGTATCACTACAAAGTTGTTACATGAGAAACGAACAGAAAAAGAAGGACGGTTGGTGCTAACATGAAACTTAAACTTGATTTTAACGGCCTGTCGCAGCCGTTGAGTTGTATAAAAAGCACTTCGGCTTATTACGGTATCGCATTGGGCATATATGTTCAGTTGAAATTCGTAGTGAAGACTGGGAAACTGAAGGAGCGGAAAGTGGCAACATTTGCAAGTTTTTATCATATGAACCACTGATTCACCTCAACGTTTTTTAATAGTCTATATGCACGCTCATAGACCTAACTCATATGTATGGACAGATGTAACAGTAACAGTACGCATTATCATTAAAAATAAGACTTCTATGATAATTAAAAGTTTATTCCTTCGGATTCGATTTATAAATATGTTTTACTTCGCTGCACAACAATCTGGGTGATCTACGTTTTGAGACCATTTACACGGATCCAGGTCCTGAGCAGTCTGATCTCAGAAGGATATTTATCGTGCGAATTTCATCCCTGCGTAATGAAATATATTTTGCCTCAAAAGAAAACTAAGGACACCTCTAGTTGAAACAAAGCATACTAGGAAATTTTCGTACATGTCAAGGCTTTTGTTTGAGTTGGCAAAACTTTCCAGTTCATATACAGATGATCAAATTACAAAGCCTGAATCGTGTTGTGAGCCTTCAAACTAAATTGAGGAGTGAGAACAAGAAAAAATATGGACATGTTTTTGCCTTTTCGTCGTATTCGCCTACGCAACCATTGACTACAATTCTAAAAGGATGCATAAAATAAAGCTTCCTACCCTATTACAAAAAGCTAAACGCTTGGCTGCAGCTATTGTAGTAAGAGACTTCAGCGATCAAGTTGGTAGTTTAAACCAGAGCGATAGACAATCAGGTGCGTATTAGTGTTCAAGTTACATGAACAGACAATGGCAACTAGCAGTCTTAATTATGCTAAGACAGCTACTTGTACACAGCAAGCACCAACTTCAAGTATAGGGACAGTGTTTGAAAGGGCAACCCCCACAACCGACAAATTGATCTTATACCCATCAGCGATCACTCAAGGGACCCGACATAAGACCTTCGGTTATTTCGGAGGACATGTCTATACTGAACACCATCTAACATGATGACGCCGAAGTGATGCCAACTCAGATGCGGGTCGACATTATCTACAGTCATGATATCGACGAGTGATTAGAATAAAATTGTTAAGGCTCTATTGAACTGACAGATACTCGGAAAGCCACTACGTAAGGCTACAAACACAATAAGGTAACCAAGTGGTGGCAACTCGGACTGATGTACGTACGTACGAAGTTCTACGTTGTTACTGACTGACTGACCGACGACCACTCATTGTTCCACCATATAACAGGACGAAAATCCTTTTATGGTAACTACAGAAGAGTCAGTCTGACATAGATTTTAAAACTTGACGATCACCCAAGGCTTTACTAGGTCTCATGAAGAGCAAACCTGGGAAAACCGGGCTGGTCTCAGACCTGGTGTGGGTAAAATATTCGCAATTTGCCACATCCACATACAGACATACCTATGGACTCACAACCACGGTCGTACTTATCAGCCTTAAAGATCCATTTTATTTTGTTGATCATAAAATCTTGTGCAGTATCTCTAAAATCATAACAAACAGTAAAGTTAGGATTTTACGGGCTCTACTCGAACAATACTAATGGAGTCAGAGCTCATGGGGGACTGTCATTTGAAGTGTTCATCGAAACTGTCCGCTTTCTTAATTTTAATTCAACTGTCATAGACATACTCTACGAATTCCTATGACCTTGGGGAAAACCCTAAAATCCGGATCATTTGCAAATTGGAGACATCTGGGGAGATGAGAAATATAACGTTTTTGCAAAAGGTATCGCCTTGAGTTTTTACTTACTTACCTTACGCCCTTCGAATACCATTGGTACAACAGGTCCAGATGACATATACGCAACTAGTTTTGGAAAGAATGGTAAAGATTTGAGTGCCTCGTAGTGAATCTGAAGAAGCTGTTCTGAGGCATGCATCATCTTAATTGCAACAAGCTTATAGCCTCGCCTTTCAAATCGTTGTATAATCTCCCCAACAAGACCTCGTTGGACTCCATCAGGTTTGACCATTATGAACGTCCGTTCCATGATATGACGACTACCTCAAGTGAATTCGCGCCCAACTGATGGACAATAAAAGTGTATTCGAACAAAATCTCGACAATCGTTTATAGACACATGTACATTTTTTATTATGATTGTAGTAGTTCTTCGCGTTTCGGTTCCATACAATAAAACTGTTTTGACGTTCGTGTTGAAATTTCTGACTTTGATGTTAGTTGACAGTTGTTGATGGGAAATGGATGACTCTGAAACGCAGAACAGTAGGAAATATAGCCAAAAATAATGCCCGTTTACTTGGTTAGTCCTTGCTGGACTCAATGACTACTCCGCCAAAGGCCCGAAGCAAAGCCTCGTCAAGCACTATTGTGAATCGCTCGCTCAACTCCCATGACTTTGTTACAACGAAAACTAATTGTAAGATGCAGGATCTAACATAACGATCGAAAGCCGTGAACACGATTTCTAAAGAAGTTAAGTCTCTTCCTAGTTTAATTATTTGGACCATAGAATAGTCGAAAGACAATGACCCTGCTAAAATACATGCACACGATCTGCAATTAGTGGAATCTGTGATAAGAAATGTAGTACCTGAAGAGGTTTCAGGGGTACATATCACGAACGTAGTACGACTCGGTAAATTGGTTGGAGGCGAGGTCCAATCAAGAAGGATTTTGAAGTTGGTTCTCGGGAATTTTGAAGAAAGAGGTAGAATATTGAATAACGCACAAAACTCGTGATTCAAATATTCGTATGCGACCAGATTGGACGCTTGAGGATCGAGTTAAGTGGAAGAATGCTCTTACGGAGTTAAGAACTCAAAAGTCAAATGGCGAAACTAACCTTACCATTAAGGGTTTTCGGGCAACCAGGTCTTGGGAGCCAATGCTTCCGAGGCCTGTAGGGGTAGAACGAATGATTCCCAAAAGTGTGTACTACACGGACGCCTGTAGTCTTGGAAACAAAATGTCCGAGCTAAGTCTGATGGTGGATGAACTAAGTCCCGATATAATTATTGTTACAGAAACTTGTTTCACCGTAGATATAGAATGTTCTCCCATCATTACAGGCTATATCTGTATTAGAAGTGACAGTTTTAAGTCCCAAGGGGGAGGCATAATTTTATACGTTAGTGATCACTTTCGTATATAATCAGTCACATCGGAGGAGCATGTTAGTGGTACATGTGAGGTAGCATGTTGTAAAATTAAATCTAGAAATCAGTTAGTGACTGTAGGAGGAATATACCGTGGCTCGTGTTGTCTCGCTGACGACTTTATCTTAAAACGCATCTGTTCTCGGAGTATGGCAGAATGCTGTCTGCAACGCACCTCATATCAACTGAATAGAGCTTACAGCTCTAGGCGGTGGTTCCGATAGCGACGTTTTATCAACCATTATTCAGTGTGCGCCTGTACAATGTATTGAGAAACCGACACATATTGACTTGAAACATGATTCGTCACTGCTGGACCTCGCCTTCACCCACCACTGTGAGGATGTCTTTGATATTCAGCACCTTCTCCCACTAGTGAACAGTGATCACGTTATAATTCACTTTAAGTTTAGGGCACGTGGTATGCAATTTGAATCAGTTCCACCCCGTCGCAATATCTGGCGAGCTAATATTCCGGCAATCAGAGACTGTGCTATCTCAAGTAATTGGTCGGTCGACGTGGATCGATCGATCGAAGACTAATTGAATAAGTTTAAAACTACATTTGAGTCCGTAGCCTCACCGTTTATCCCATGGTCAGCACGTAAGTTATCACATTGCTCTCCATGGATTAATAAGGAAACCCGGAAGCCGTTAAAGCGTAGGAAACACTTCTGGGACATATTCTTGTTGACAGTTCACGCATTATTTGAGCATCAGTACCGAAAATTCCGGAATATTTGTAAGAAAACCATAGCTAAATCCCCGACTACTTACGAACGACAGTTGGCATATGATAGTCGCACTTGTCCGAAACAACTGTTTTCGTATGTTAAATGGCGAATAAAACGTAGTGATGGTATTCCCCCGTTACTGTTACACGAAAATTCAGATTTCCTAGCTGAATAAGATCAGGCAAAAGCTGAGGCTTTTTCAAACAATTATAGTGAAGTCTACTGCTAGGGTTGAAGCTATCACGACTTCACTTAATCTGCGAACGAGAAACAAGACTCGATGATCAAAGACCAGTAAGCTAGCTAGTTGATGCGTTCCAGCCTCGCAAACTAGAGGAAGAAGTCCAAGCTTGGATTGAAGAAATATATTCTGCAAACAGTCAGAAACGAGCGATAACAACAAACACAATTCAAAACGTATATATACGGTACAAAACCGCCCTCGGGGAGAGTTACCAAATAGCATACTAAAAGACGCAACTGGCCAATAGCATTTAAGATATTTCCTAGTGGGAAATACAACATGAAGGTGACAAGAGCGCTTTTGGCACGAAAACAAAGAGATTAAAATTTTATAAATAAAATTACAAAAAAAGGTCCTTTCTCAAGTGAACTAGTAGTATGGCGTCGAGTCGCGGCTGACTATGATCATCACTACAGGGAAACTACGTACCAGTTAACCGATAAGATCCCCCGTAAGCAAAATATCAGAAGACAGTTGATGGCTGTAGTCGAGATGTATTTGTTGGCGATCTTGTGGTATCGAAAGAATACCGAGATCATGCCAGATCACAAGTGTGGTTACTGAACGTAACCGAACTCGTGCAAGGTCGCAATCAATGGACGAATATCTTTAGTGCAGTTAAACAAACAAGTACAGTAAACCAATCACTGGTACAATTGGTTATAATAATAATTGCTTTCATTAAACCAATCGCGTCCTCTTGATAAAAGTAGGTTACTACAAGTTCTGGGGATCTAACGTCCCCAACATCTACTCTACGTTTGTTGTAACAAATACTTGTCCCAACCAGCCATCGAATCTGTACAGGTGACTGAGGAAACTGTCCTTCCATTGGTAGCTAACCTCAAACCTTGTAAGATACCGAGTCCTGACGTGCTACATTCACGGCTGCTGACATCTCCTGCGGACATCATTTCGGTATCGCTCGCGACAGTTTTCAACGTGTCCTTCCCAGTAGACCAACTCCCTGTAAATTGAATAGACGCTATAGTCACTCCCATATTTAAGGATGGTCAGAGATAGGCCACATCTAACTGCCGGCCTGTCAGTCTAACCAGCAAAGTCGTCAAGTTGCTTGAAAAGATAATTCCAGTTAAGTTGCGAAGTCACACAGATTCACACAATCTGTCGGCTCCTGAGCAACGTGAGTTTCGTAACAAGCGTTCATGCTCGACTAACTTACTTATAGAGGGAGAGGATCGGACAGCAGCCTTAGATAACGATCTGCCTGTCGATGTGATATTCACAGATGTTAGCAAAACATTTGACAAAGTTTCACACTAACGTCTTATGCAGAAGCTCTCGATCTTCGGGACAATAGGTCCTGTAGAGGAGTGGATAGGAAACGTCTTATGTGATCGCAGACAGAGAATGAGGGTCAATGGAACGCTATCCGATTGGAAGCCAGTCAAAAGTGGCGTACCCCAAGGCACCATCATATGTCCGCAACGCATGTCCTACTCACCACAAATTTCTTTCCATAATTTTCTCATAGCTAATCACGTGCAATTGAGTTTATTCTCATTTAACTCAGTTAAGCCGTTTTGCTAATTTATTTAGCGGACAAAGTCATCCACACTATAAAAATTTATTGTACCCTTATCATTACTGTGCTTGTATGAAATACGTATGCTTGAATATGGTTTACTGTCTACGCATTTATTCACTCTGCTAGTCTCACTACTAACCGCTTATTTGATTCAATTACTCATTCATTTCACTATATATATATATATATATATATATGTCCATGTTATTCATATTGAACACACACCCTCGTCTCGTTCTTGCTCTGGCTCTCACTCGCTTGCTTGCCATTCGGCACAACTCTTCTATGCTTGTTTAGCGCATCTGTACGTTTGTATATATATGTGTGTGGTCTCGAAATAAACGTAATCAACGCTTCGTATTCGCCTTCTGATTAATAGAACGGTTATCAAGACGAACTGTGTACAAAGTTTAAGGATTATATCGAATACCGACCACCACATAATTGACGATCCCGTCGCGCGAGAGTATGATTTATGGGGAATTTTATAAATATTTTGAACATTCAAGATATTACAATAAAATGTTCAGCAACAACTAGGGTTCACATTTTATTATGGAAATAGACACAACCTAATATGGGCATCATTATCACCCAAAGACTATTCATTTACTTTAAGGTTACTGCAGTTTAGTGCTTAAATGTTTCAAAGCTGTTTCTCACTGAAGAACCATCATAGAATCAAACATCCCAACCGTCAGTGAAAAAAAAACACATGTTACATCAATTGAAGATATATATAGTAATTATACTAAAGTTTGATAGTCATTGACTGCATCATTGTACAGTTCATAATATTCCTTAATGAGATGTAGAAAAGGGACATCAATACCAACTGCTTCCTTCTGAAAGTTTTAAAACAATTATCACAAAATATCATGTGTTTAATAAACGCGCGAAGAGATTTATGATGGTTTACGGTGAAACTTGAAGAAATGTCTGTAAAATATTCATGAAGTTTTGATCGCTGTTTATAGAGACAACCTACTGAAGTTAGTACCTCATTCTAAAAGAATCAAACATTCTAGTGCAAGCCGTGAAGGCTGCGAAATTGCTACTAGATCAAGACAGTCATCGAATTATTACGTTAAGGTAGATATCGAACATCTGGAGTTCCTTTTGCTTTTGGATCACTAATTTATTTTTCGGATGATCGCTTGTGAAATTTCGGGGAATCCAAGTATGAACTCGATTCTAGAGAAAATTTGGGGCTATTGGGATTGTGGAAAAACAGATTATGGGCAGCGCAAGAGTCTGATTTATGGGGAATTTTATGAATATTTTGAACATTCAAGATAGAAATGGGACAATTGTATTGTTAGACACAAGAAACATCTTGAAGGAGGTAAGGTTAGTGCATCCTAAATATTTTAAAATGAAATTTCATGACATACGTTCGCGTACTTATTCCCACCAACAAAAAAGTAATTATTGACCCCTAAATAAGACCTCGAATTGTCTTATAGGTATACGTACAAAATTCCCTAAAAAATCACCCAATTCACTTACAATATTAAAAGATTTGTCAATCTCTGTAAGGCACCACAAAAGTCACTTAATCATTAGAACGGACACAAAATACTTTGGGACAAGTCAATCGCTCTCCAAGCTCCATTACTAAAATCTGTACCTTGATGCTGACTTTCGGGCAAAACACCGGAAAAATGCATGATACGTTTGGTTCGTAAAATCGAATATCTCTTTATATGTATCCCAAGTAGTATATATATCATAGAATGAGGCGAAAAGCAGTTTACGTCTGTCAGTTTTTTGTTACCAACGCTAGCGAATATAATCGACTAGATAACAGAGATAAATAAAAAGAACGCTTCTAGCAAAAGATCAACTCATTGCACACATTTGTACATCAGTTAACAGTACTTGATCTTGATGACCATTGTATACCAGTAAAGGTTGCTAACTCTGATTAAACTCGAATAATTCAACACTTCGAAGGTGTAGTCGTGAACACAGGCAAATCCTTCTGCCAGTATTTAATGTATCGACAATAATTATCATAGAATAATAGTGTATGTATGTACATTCGGGCATTCAGAAATCCATACTTCACAAATTTTCCATTAGCTATTACGGATTCATTGGAATTTCGAATGGGTCGTTGTGTAGTGGTTCTAAAACCTGAATAATTTTGATATTTTATCTTTTGAATTGTTTTGGATTCATGTTTGCACTCTTTTAAGTACCAGTTATCATCTTTCCATCACTATTCTGCTTTTTTAGTGAGATACTTGCTCTGATATGCTCATCCTTGTACCCTTTAGATTTTCGTCCTGGCTGAGTTATTTTACTTCGCCACTTTCTTTTAAATAAGAAATTCATCTGTTGGATATAAACCTGCTAACAACTGGCATTTATGGTAGCATATCAGACCAGATGGATGAATGTATTAAAAAACTTAAACTCCGAATGACTCATGATATGGGAATACATATTTAAAAGATGTTTTCTGAATCAGTATGTACTACGAATGGTGCACACTAGATGCCATATAAACCGAAAATAAGGACTTACAGCAGAAGTTTCGAAATACGGAATGCTTAGATCATCCGCTAACCCTTGGGCTTTTTCCACATTGTTGATATGCTTCTCTTTCAGGTCTGTTTTATTGCCCACAAGAACGACTAAAAGCCAGGTATATGATAAGAAAGTACTCTTACCCGGTATACGTATATTATTAGGTTTCCGTAATTCTCTCAGGGTAAGCTTTGCACTGGAGAAACTTTCCTGGTTAGTTACATCAAAAACAACAACGATAAGGTTGGTCATATTAATCTACCCTTATAAAAATAATTAATGTCCTACATAATGATTCATGGGATCCTGAAAAACTTCTTTGCCTGGGATATTATATAAGAACAATTCCTAGGAAATAAGTTCTTTACTGTTCACTTTACCGCACGATGCTGTCATCCACTTCTGGTATTGTCATTGTTTTTACAGCGAATTCAACCGTCTTGGACTGGAGTTCTTAATGTTATTTGAATAATCATAGCTACCATAAGGTAGTTCTTTGGGAAGTCCCGGCCACCACTACAAAATGATTGAACAATTGATGTTTTTCCACAATATGGGCTTCCTAAACACTTAAATACGATCACTGAACACCAACCAAGGATATGACATTTTGCTCTCAAACATTCGTGCATTTTTCAAAAGTTACCGTTGTGATGCTACGACAACCAATGACCTTGAACTACATTTCGGTCAACGAAAAAGCCGCATGTGAAAATAGTTATGAAAATTAATACAGATATGACCATTGTTACGAGCTGGTGCAAGTCACCTGGTTTCTTTGGGCTAAGTTTTTAGGTCTTCTTGGGGACGATAGATCCCCAAACTCTTATTTTAAATTTTATCGCATCGATCAACTTATTGGTTAAATGTTTAAATATTTGTATTGGGGTCAATTGATGAACTGATCGATTAAATGTTTGAATAGCAGTCAGTTGATGAACCTATCAATTAGATGTGCAAATAGGTCAATTGATGAACTATCGATTAAATGTGCAAATAGGTCAATTAATGAACTCATTGATTAGTGTTTAAAAATTTTCTATGACAATATCGAATGTAAATATTTGTATAAATACGCTTGCTTGCTGCTCTCTTGCTCGCTTGCTTGCTCGCTCGCTTCTGGTTGTTGTAGAATATATTTTCCATACCAAGCCTGGACTTCTTCTCTGGATAGCGGGTCTGGGACGCGTCAATAGTTAGATCACTGGTCTTTGGTCACTGAGTATTGTTCTCCTTCGTAGTTTAAGTGAACTCGTAAAGTTTCAAACATAACAATTTGGCGACGGAGATTTCGGAAACATGGATCCTTCTAAACTTGAATTATTACTCGAGCAGCAGATGAAACTTATTCAAATGTTAGCAGATCCAAAGCTTACGTCTAATACCCAACCAAGCAGTTATAATCCTACTACTACTGCACCATCAGTTGATGGTATCGCTAACAGTATTTCCGAGTTTCATTACGATCCAGAATCCAATGTCACGTTTGATATGTGGTTCCGACGTTACGAAAACTTATTCAAATTCGACTTTGCTAACCAGGATGATGCTTGGAAGGTCCGCTTGCTGCTTCGAAAGTTGGGTCCTAGTGAACTAGACAAGTATTGCAACCTAATCCTGCCTTTAAACCCACGCGATCGTTCATTCTCCGACACTGTCCAGTTATTGAGCCAACAATTCGGAGACAACTCCTCAATATTCAATGCGCGTTACCGATGTTTGAAGCTCACTATGAACGACGATGATAATTTTCTCACACATGTGGGTATCGTCAACCGAGAATGTGAACGCTTCCGGTTGAAGTCGCTTACTGAAGACCAATTTAAAGCACTCATTCTCATCTGCAGCCTTCAATCGCAGAAGTTCAGTGATATTAGAACACGTTTGCTAAGTCGATTGGACCAAGACCCAAAACTAACTCCTAATGATATTGCAAACGAATATCAACGTCTAATCAATCTACAGCGTGATACTACAATGGTCCAGCGTGGTGGTTCAGATCGTTCCGGAATTCATGTAGTCCAACAACCACACAACTCGCATAAATCTGCCCCAGCAACATCTAGTTCAGGTCGACAGACAAAAACAAATCCTCTTGCTCCGTGCTGGCACTGCGGTGCATGGCATTTTGTTCGATACTGTCCATATAAGCAACATCGGTGCAGGAAATGTAATGCGGTGGGTCATAAAGATGGGTTTTGTCAAAAAAATAAGCCGAGCAGCTTCAGAGGTACCAGAAAACCTAAGCCTAGATCCAACACGAATTCGTTGAGTTTAATAGCAAGCTGTGAGAACTCAACCCCAGTTGAGAGGAAATTTATTACCCTTAATATTGATGGCCATTCATCTAGATTGCAAATAGATACAGCATCAGATGTCACTATCCTCTCTCTTAATACTTGGACCAAAATGTGCAGCCGAAACTTGCAGCGTACAACGCAAAAGCCTCGTACTGCGTGTGGTAATTACCTTCACCTCCTAGGACAAATGGAATGTACAGTTACTTTCCGTGATTTTACATTTGTTGGGGTATGCTACATAACGCCAGCTGATCTAAATTTGCTCGAGTTAGATTGGTTCGATCACTTAAATTTAGCTGATATCCCGTTGAATACCATATGCAACCGGGTATCACAACCCCAACTACGACAACAACCACACGACTTGGAAGCATGTACAAGGAACCTAATGACGGAGTTGTCAACCAGCGAACACCATACGGCCGGCGAAGATGTAGTTATTACCTCCCTATTGACAGAGGACTACGCATAGTGTCAGCAAGCAGCCAAGTGTAACGCGGAATTACTGCCGGTCCCATGGCCACAGCCTGAGTATCCCTGGTCCAAGATACATATCGATTTCGCAGGCTCAATTAGTGGAATCACCTATCTAGTCGTTGTTGACGCCTTTTCGAAATGGCCAGAAATTGTGCCCGTCACGCCACCAACGACAACCTAAACGATGCAACTTTTGACAGAGATGTTCTCTCGCAACAGATTACCGGATATAATCGTTTCCGATAATCGTTCGCAATTCATCTCAAGTCAATTTCAAGAATTTTGCAAACGCCTATCGATCAAGCATTTCCACTCTCCGCCTTACCACCCACAATCAAATGGACAAGCAGAAAGATTTGTGGATACATTCAAGAGAGCTCTAATGAAGTCGAAAGGGGAGGGGACGCCAGTAGAAACACTGCAGAATTTCTTATTTGTTTACCGAACAACACCTAGTGATATGCTACCACAGCAGAAGTCCCCGGCAGAGATCCTGATGGGAAGGAAATTGAGGACGATCCACAGTCTCATGTGCCCAAGAACCACACCACCACCATCTCAGACCGAATCTCAGAAGCTTCCAGCGTATGAGGTTGGATGCCCTGTGTTCGCTCGAGACTACAGAGTAAATCATGGTCCTTGGATCGAAGCACGTGTGGTTGGAAGACTAGGCCAAGTTATGTACAAGGTAAAGGTGGGAAGAGACACGTGGACTAGACACCGGAATCAACTACGTAAGCGGATAGCCCCAGACCACCCATCAACAGGAGTAAATCTTCCTCTCGACATCTTGCTTGATACTTTCAACTTACCGGCAACCCCACCCCAAGAAAAACCTCAACAAAAATCTGAAACACGTCCCAGACGGTGACCTATCAGAGAACGGCGAGCTACAGTCAAGATGCAGGTTGACCCCAGGAAAGCCCGCTATTAAAAAAGGGAGGAGTGTTGGGGACGATAGATCCCCAAACTCTTATTTTAAATTTTATCGCATCGATCAACTTATTGGTTAAATGTTTAAATATTTGTATTGGGGTCAATTGATGAACTGATCGATTAAATGTTTGAATAGCAGTCAGTTGATGAACCTATCAATTAGATGTGCAAATAGGTCAATTGATGAACTATCGATTAAATGTGCAAATAGGTCAATTAATGAACTCATTGATTAGTGTTTAAAAATTTTCTATGACAATATCGAATGTAAATATTTGTATAAATACGCTTGCTTGCTGCTCTCTTGCTCGCTTGCTTGCTCGCTCGCTTCTGGTTGTTGTAGAATATATTTTCCATACCAAGCCTGGACTTCTTCTCTGGATAGCGGGTCTGGGACGCGTCAATAGTTAGATCACTGGTCTTTGGTCACTGAGTATTGTTCTCGTTCGCAGCTCAAGTGAACTCGTGAAGTTTCAAACATAACAAGTCTATGATACAATTTCAGGTCTTGGGTGGCTTCTAATGAAAGAAAGTCTGTCTATTCACTTGCATTAACACAAGCGAAGTCGACTGTTATGTTGGGGTCCACATATCTACAGTCTGGTTAAATCCTTTTTAAGATAATGGAACTAGCAACTTCTAAATTATATATAGACGATTAATTTATTGTAATATTGGGGTTGTACAATTAGAATACAGAGGAGTGACAAAACAATGATGTGGAGTAGTCAACAGGTTAACTAAGCAAACTTCATAAACAAACAATAGTATAAGATCATCCGATATGCGAAGATGACAAGAAGAGAAACGGATAGGGTAGGTTAGTGATAACAATGAAAATGAATTTTTCTAAAAGATCTGTAACATGGAGGACAATTGGATGTTAAAAACATCCTTCCGCGTTATTGGATACATCCGATTTCTATTCCAGATCAAAAGTTGTGAAATACCACACGTACGCAGTTATTATCAGTTCAACTTCCCACAAACAGTTCTCGAACAAAGGACCTGAATCCTATAGCGATCTACTCCTATGAAGAGAACACGATTGGTGTAATGAAAACATTTATTTTCATAACGAACTGTACCAATGATTTTTTTACTGTACCTTTTTGTTTAATTGTACCAAAAACACTTTTTCCGTTTTTTGTGACCTTGAACCCACTCAGATACGCACGGTAGTCCTGCTTGCAGATTATGACACGATCTCAGTATTATTTCGATACCACGAGATCGCCAACAAATACATCCTAACTACAACCTACGACTGCCTTCTAATGTTTGTCCTACGGAGGGGTTTAACCTGGTAATCAGCAAGTGATCGATCTGTAGTGATGGTCATAGGCAACTGCAACTCGACGCCCACTACAAGCCTATGGAGGATGAAATAATACGAAGCCGTATTTGAATGCTAGTTGATATGGTTAAGCGCATGTAGTGAAAGCTAACTAGTTGTCATATGAGATGTGCAGCACGACTCATCCGAACGAAAACCAAGTTATGGTTCGTCTGGCCCTCCATAGAATTTGTCACTGCTGTCTATGCCCTCTGACAGTAACATACATAGGTCGCTCTCCGTTGGCATTTCATAGAAGCAATGACCACAGGGTAAGTATTCTTCTGCATATATAGACCACTTCATGCGGATACTAAGTTTGACAAATTACTAACAAACATATTTTCTATTGCTTCGCACCAACCGCATGCTTTTAAAATCATCGGAGGTGATTTTAACCTGCCAAAAATTACATGGGGCTTGACTCCGTTACCAGGTCGATATAACAAGCTAGTTGAAACATTAGAAATTTGTGGATGGGTTCAACAGGTCCGAAAACCAACCAGGGGGAATAATACACTTGATTTAATGTTCACAATCAACATAGACTCTATCTCAGTGCATACCAGTCATGAGTTTTTGAAGAGTGACCATAGAGTTGTATTGAGTATTATTCACTCTTTAAACGCCATACA